GTAGAATTGCCCACACAGTATATGCAAAATCTTCACATGAAATGGAACATAGTTGGGCCAACAAAATTAGCATACTTGTTACACACAGAGATATATTTCTATTCAATGTTGTTCAGCAGTAGTTTCACTTTCAGCACTTTTTTAGTCTGCAAATATGTATCTTATCCCTAATGCTTAGATTATCACAAAACTATGGCAGTTCTCACTTGTCAAACTGTAGCATGATTATACAAGTCATGTAAAAAAACAAACAAAAAGTTTATGAAAAACCAAGCTTAATCTAAGGAAATGACATAGTTTCATATCGTGATGCTCTTTATTTGCCCATTTAATATTATGGTATATCAAATATTTCTATATGCTCCCTAATATTATTAATAATAATATAATAAATATAATAATAAATTCTTGTATGATCAATTTTTATAAACATTTAACAAATCAACTTTGCTGACAATCTTTTGTTCACATCTATTTACTGTATTCACCTACATGGTTGTTTGCATTCATAAGCTATTTTCAAAATTGTTTTTGCTGGCTGGGTATTATGCAGTGATATGGTTTGATCTCCTATAAGTTATAAATCATATTTCATTATTTGTATAACTGCGTTTCATATTTTATGTGCATGTATTAATTTATTAGTGAATGGGTGCAATGATAAAAACTTTTTATTTTGTATTTTATAAAACAGCTTCTTGACAAAATAATGATTGGTATAACCACAATTTTGATTTTCTATACATTCAGTGAGCTGCAAAACAAAAAAATTATAATCTCTTTTGACCTAATTAATTTACTGCTGTATTTTTGTTTGTAGGCGTATGGTTTTTAAAAGTTATGATGAGAGGAAATCTGCTGCTGAGAAGATAGAAAGAGAAGCTGAACAGTTGGAATTGTTATTTCAGAAATTAGCACCAGATAACAATCCTGTATGTTCTTTTCACATGTATAGCTAATAGTACATGTATTTAGCATGGATGTATTCTTAATATTTTGCAAAATGGAAGTACAAAAAAAAAAAGAGGAAGACTTGAACTTGTTTCCATAGAACCAATGCTTTTATAGTAGTGTAATGGCCATTTTGAGTTGAAAATAATTCAAAATATAAGCAGCTGAGGTGGATAATTCAAAAACTAGTTTTTGTACTCTACATTGTTTTCTTTAAGATCAATCACAGGACGTTTTTTACACAATCATTTCAAAAATTGATTTACTGGTGTTTTTCAATATGGGTCCAAATATAACATATGTAAAATACATTGTTGTTTACATGAATTTTGACATGACGTCTGTCATTTGTTAATCATATCACATCGTTTTAAATATTTTATAGGAAAGCTACATGGTTCTTGGTTATCTTCAACATCAAATCACATTTTTAATATTATTGCCGTAAAGCAATGAACTCATTGACAAATGAAACATAATTTTGACATAATTAAATTGTGAAACCAAGGTCAAATGTGAAGTGAGAAATTATGTACACCTAGAAAGTATCAGGATTTGGCAATTTGGGGGATGGGTCATGCAACTATACCAATTAACAAATATAGAATCTTTATATGCAATGAGTATTAAATATCATATTTATGATTATTTCTTTTAGAAGTAATTCTCCATGTCAACCAATACCAATGTTGTCTGAGTTGATTAAGCTGGAGGATACATCAGTGATACCGTTAGAAATATCGGTAAGTTGTGCTCTGATTATTTGTAGTGCAAATAAAATCAAAACGCTTTATTTGTCCCTGTCTAAAAACAGTGACTTATGAATTAACCTCCATGCGTTTATCCATTTGTTCATTGGTTCGTTTTTATCCAGCCATATCCCACATTCTGATCAAGCTCAAAGTATACACATACATCAGACATTATATTTTCTTTAAAATGGCTGAATGGCAGCCATGTTAAGGCTACAAATTAATCAAAATAACATGTTTTCACAATTCTGGAAATGGTATCAGTCATTCGGTTTTGACTTGCTTCATACATTGAATACAATGTGACATTGATGCACGTCATTTTATATTTCGGGTCAGATTTAAAATGACCGACTGGTAGCCATTTTGTGTTAATGAATTCAGTTGTGGATCCATATTTATGATGTACCAAGACTTGCCTGTCATACAAGTGTCAATCAGAATAAATAATACAACAAAATTTCAAGCTTTTGTGGAACAATTTTTCAGGTATTCATGAGGGATTTGGTTTGAATGCATAACAAAAAGATTTTCCTGAGCTGTTAAAAGTGTTATACGTTGTGAGAGATTGCATACACGTATCACATGACTTGCAATGTACAAATACATCACTCAAATATACTCTTTCATTAAAAATAATTGAGAGTGTGTTTTGTCAAGACTTGTTTGTCTAAATTTTAATTATTTTTATTTGTTAGCTCTGCTATCATTGAAGATGGCATAGATGAGCTTTTCATGTAGATGATCATCCGTCGTCTTCTGTTGCAATATGGCAACAACATTTAGTGTGATAATAATAACTACATAACAAATAAGCTTTTACTAATCTCTTATTTTACACAATGTAATCAGCTTCGTCAACAGGAGGGCAATCTACTGAAAATGCAGAGCTGTTTTGACC